GGGTGTAGAAAAGGACCATGGACACCTGAAGAAGACAAGCTTCTTGCCGAGTATGTTACTTCGCATGGAGAAGGAAGATGGAGCTCTGTTGCTAAGTGTGCAGGTAAACTACTTTTATTCGATCATATTGCTTCATATATGCTTTTACATATGCATCCATATTCATATTTAAGATTTGCTTTTATGAAAGTTATTTCAGGATAGATTTCACTTATGACTAATAAAGGTAATTACTACAAAATGATTTTTTATAACGATTATATTAATAAAGACAAGTAGGAGATCATATATACGGGGTATAGTTGACTTACTTATGCTCTTGATGATATTTCATTCTTGTTTCTTTCAAAGCAGTCTCACACCCTTTTCATCTTTAGAAAGAGAACAGTTTCATAGTGGAATAAGCTTTTAGGGTTAATTTTTTTCGAAAATCAAAATATAATCTTATGATTCCTTGTTTTGTGGAGTTGACTTTGATCAGTTGGGGAACATTTTTATACACATTACCTTTTTTATTCGAACATTTTGGTCGAGATACTGTTCGATAGGAAGATTCATACTCATATTATATAGATTATAAAGCTTATCAAGTGGGATTAAATTTGAACAAATTCATGTTCTGTCAAACCCATTTTAATTTATTGCCCTCTTCATTTTGTTTCCATTGAATTGAAATTAGGGTTGAATAGAAGTGGCAAGAGCTGCAGACTAAGGTGGGTAAACTACTTGAGGCCAGGGCTTAAGAGAGGACAAATCACTCCTCAAGAAGAAGGAATCATCCTTGAACTTCATTCCCTTTGGGGTAACAAGTAATTAAGCTCCTTTTTTTTTTTTTGAAACACTAATTAAATTCTAAACGGAAACTAACATACTAGTTATCGAACAACATGGTTGATATTATATAATAAATATGTTTTATATAAAGAAACAAATAAATATATCCAGATTTTTTAATTAGAATATCGTCGTCTCTAGTATTGCTCACAATATGACATCACCATTGCTAGTTCTGGTCGCTTTTACAATATTACACTTGTATTTCTATCGCTACGTTCACTTTATGTACGTATTCAAACGCTTCATGCGCATAGGCAGGTGTATATAATTTTCTCAAAATATATATAGGTGGTCAACAATCGCAAGATATTTACCAGGACGAACAGATAATGAAATCAAGAACTATTGGAGAACCCACTACAAGAAAAAAGATAACTCTTCTTCGAAGCAAGACAAAGTTAAAAGATGCCAACCCCGAAAACAACTAGATCTGAAGCCGCAATCACAACCACAACCGCAGAATCAACGGTCTAAACTAGTGTCTCAAAACCACATGAATCTCGGCAGCGAACAAAATATAGATTCCTTTTCTTACCCGAGTAGCATTTTCGATGACCAGCTTCATATGCATCAAAGTGTCGCAGCAACTTCATCCGACCACTCCATGATTGATGAAGTTCATTTGTGGGGCAGCTTGTGGAATCTAGATGATGATGATCCACACAGTTTTGGTGGTGGCTCGAGTCAGAGAACGGCTGCTGATATTGCTGAGAAGTTTAACGGCGGTGGAATTGAGGCTCCGTCCTGTGAATCAGGGGATTATAGTTATAATGGCTTTTTCAGGGGAGGCTACATCTTTTAAATACTATGCACGGAGATATAAAGAACTTGTGTCTTCGTACGGTTCATAGAAAAATCAAAGATTTCGAATTGTATTTTCTAACTTTAGTAGCGATGTCTTACTAAATACATCGGAGTAGTGAGGCTAATAAAATGATTAGGATTATATATGTCTCGACAATTCTACTACTACTTTTTTGCTATTTTAAAAGCTTTATGGAATAAATAGTTTCCACGTTTACTTTTCATTAATAGACTCAAAAACTTTTAAGCTAATAGATTCCATGATGCAGCGCATCCTCAAGTTGATCACGCCTTAGTAGGACTTTGTCATGATTGGGTTTGTATTCCATTTGGGTTTTTAAAGTATACGCTAATTTTGTTTCTTTGTTAGATTAGGATTTTCGATACTAACTTCTTATATAAACTTGTTGTAACAAAATAGGGAGGATAACTTTGATATTGAATAAACTTTAAGCTTTCATAGCACGGGGAAGAGTATTCCCAACCTCTATTGAGCTTTTATAGCATGGGGAAGAGTATTCCCAACCTCTATCGATTTAAGCGTAGATCTTCTTCGCTTAAATCAAACCCGATTTACACACGAATTCCTTAGGTCTTTCTTGTGTCTTCGTTACCTAGCTTCCGCCTCTCCATCAGTTGGTATCAGAGCCAAAACGGTCCTACTATCATGTCACTGAGAAAGAATTTGCAACAACGAAGATATGAGCAAGCAATTGGCCTGCGAGAAATGTTCGCGAAGTTGGAACAAGATCTATGCGACAAGTTACGACGGTCCATGGAATCTATTCTAGTCGCCTTCATCCAGGCTCACCAACAACCACATATTTTACCTCAACAGGATGTTGTGTTCCTCGACAAAGATGTTGAAGAAGGTGGCTATCCTGTCAAAGAGATCCATGGAGCTCCAATCTTCGATGTCTATGATGATACAGATCCAATCTTTGATGTCTATGATGATGTAGATCCGATCTTCGATGACTGCGTTGATGCAGATCCAACCTTTCATGTCTTTAGTAAAGAAAATGACGTCGAATTTATTGGAATTCAAAAGGTGAAAGATGTAAAGTTTGGACCAATGGAACATGTTCAGATCAACGAAGAGCCTCCATATCAGGGTCGTAGCACAGATTTGTTTCATCGTAGTGACAATTTGTTTTGTTACGGTGAGGAATATCTGTTGTTCAATGAAAATTTGTTTTGTTGTGTTGTTGAAGATCTCTCCAGTGAGATCCGTGTTGCAATGGTTTTTGAAAG